GGCTGGTGCCGAGGTCCAGAGAATTAATAAGCTCTTAGCAGCTTCCTCAGCGCCATAAGATCTGGATAGTTAAACATTTAGAAGTTAAGACGTGTTCATATAGGGGTCAAAAAAAAAAAAAGGGAAACAGAAGTTAAAGAGAACTAGAAATTCATTTATTCAAGCCAAAAAACTTCCCCTGATGTTTGATACCATTAGTCATTTTCAAGACTAAATATATAGGAATTCATTAGGATGAAAAAATGGCATCCTAATCAGCAAGAAACACAGCAGAATAAATACTAACTTCCAAATGTATTCCCTAAAAATACCCTTGCTTAATTTCATTTCCTCGGGGTACTCTGCTCGCCACTTAGGTTTTCGTAGATGTGGAGCCCCAGTGGTGAGGCATGCGTTTCTGCACCTAGGTGATCTGGCTTCTGTCCCACCTAGAGCCACGGTTGGAGAGCTTTTCCTTTTCGTAACCTTCCCCTAGGGCTGGTTAGCAGCTTCCACACCTAATCCAATCTAAGGGGTGGACTATTTGGTGAGTTAAGTGCTAGTGGTTTTTAGAATGAGCTAATGTTAAACTAAAGCCCAAAGCCAGTTTCAGGATAAGGAAATCAGGAAACAAAGGAGTTTTAAAGCTGCCTGGCAAGATGAAGATGAAGGTTTTATAATCCTGTTTTGTTTTTTATTGGCAGTGAAATAGGGTCCCTCCCAAGCCACTCTCAGTTTAGTTCAGCAAGCATTTTTTGAAGGCTTAAGGGGTCAGTAGAGGGGAGGGAGGTTACAGCTCCAAGAGGAATCATGTTCCCAAGCACGATCTTACTTTCCAGTAGCAGCTGGCATTGCTTGCCCTGTCCGTCACAAGCTCGTTTCTGATGTGCTACTAGAACTTCAGGCAACTTCAGGATATGAACAGTATACATTTAAGTAAACAGGTTTCTTTCATTTAAATTATCAGTGAACCAGGCCAGGCATCGTGGCTTACACCTGTAATCCTAGTACTTTGGGAGGACAAGGAGGGAGGATAGGTTGAGCCCAGGAGTTTGAGGCTGCAGTGAGCTATGATCTTGCCACTGCACTGTAGCCTGGGTGGCAGAGCAAGACTCTGTCTCAAAAGAAAAGTATCAATGAACCAAATAGTTCTGTTTTGTTTTGTTTTTTTAATTATTATTTGTTTTTTGAGACAGGGCCTCACCCTGTCACCCAGGCTGGAGTAGAGTGGCATGATCACGATTCACTGCAGCCTTGACCGCCTGGGTTCACATGAACCTCCCACCTGAAACTCCCAAGTAACCTGGACTACAGGTGCATGCCACCATGCCCAGTTAATTTTTTATTTTTTGGCTGGGCATGGTGGCTCCCACCTATGATCCTAGCACTTTGGGAGGCCAAGGTGGGTGTATTGCCTGAGCTCAGGAGTTGGAGACCAGACTGGGCAACATGGTGAAACCCCATCTCTACTAAAATACAAAAAAATTAGCCAGGCATGGTGGTGTTGTCCTAGCTGTAGTCCTAGCTATTCAGGAGGCTGAGGCAGGAGAATTGCTTGAACCTAGAGGCAGAGGTTGCAGTGAGCCGAGGTCATGCCACTGCACTCCAGCGTGGGCAAAAGAACAAGACAAATCATTTTTAAATTTTTTATAGAGACAGGGTCTTGCTATGTTGCCCAGGCTGGTCTCAAACATCTGGACTCAAGCAGTCCTCTGGCCTTGGCCTCCCAAAGTGCCAGGATTATAGGCATGAGCCATTGCACCTGACCTAGTTCTGGGTTTGTTTGTTTTTGAGACAGTGTCACCCAGGCTGGAGTGTAGTGGGGCAATCTCAGCTCATTGCCACTCAAGCCATTCTCCTGCCTCAGCCTCATGAGCAGCTGGGATTACAGGCGTACACCACCACACCCAGCTACTTTTTGTATTTTTAGTAGAGACAGCGTTTCATCATGTTGGCCAGGCTGGTCTTGAACTCCTGACATCAAATGACCCACCATCTGCCTCAGCCTCCCAAAGTGCTGGGATTACAGGCATGAGGCGCCTCGCCCAGCCCAGTTCTGGGTTTTAATTGTGGCTTTTCTGCTTAATAGTTATGTGACCTTGGAGAATTTACTTGACCTCTCTGAACCTCAGTTCTGTTTTTATTTTATTTATTTATTTATTTATTTTTGAGATGAAGTCTCAATGTTCTCACCCAGGCTAGAGTGCAATGGCATGATCTCGGATATCTCCTTTCTGTCTGAGACTTCCTCTCTAGGCTATTATTTCATCTTGTGTTCTCTTTCTCTCTTTTGAACACATAATTTTTACTTAAAGGGCCTCTACTAAGAGCTCTGCTGTTTAGAAATCATCGTGACTTCGCTGGGCACGGTGGCTCACACCTGTAATCTGAGAACTTTGGAAGGCCGAAGCAGGTGGATCACCTGAGGTCAGGAGTTCGAGACAAGCCTTACCAATATGGTGAAACATTGTCTCTACTAAATACAAAAAAATTAGCCAGGTGTGGTGGCTTGTGCCTGTAGTCCCAAATACTCAGGAGGCTGAGAATTGCTTGAACCCAGGAGGTAGAGGTTGCAGTGAGCTGAGATTGTGCCACTGCACTCCAGCCTAGGCGACAGAGCAAAACTCCGTCTCAAATAAATAAATAAACTAGCATGACTTAAACCACCATCTCTTGCATCTAGGATTCTAATAGCCCTTTTCAGGGAATCACAGATTAGGAGCACTTGGGCAAGCTGAAGACATCTTCTGCCCTTCCTCTGTGGTCCCAGCAACATCCTCCCTACATTTAAAAATCCAGGCCAGGCATGGTGGCTCATGCCTGTCATCCTAAGAACTTTGGGAGCCGAAGGTGGAGGCAGCAGGATCACTTGAGGCCAGGAGTTCAAGACCAGCCTTGGCAACATAACAAGACCCCTGACTCTTTAAAAAAAAAAAAAAAAAATTAAGCCTAGGCACAGCAGCTCAAACCTGTAATCCCAGCACTTTGGGAGGCCAAGGCAGGCAGATCACTTGCGACCATGAGTTTGAGACCAACCTGAGCAACATGGCAAGACCTAATCTCTACAGAAAATTTAAAAATTAGCCAGATTATCTGGCATGATGGTCCCAGCTACTTGGAAGTCTAAGGTGGGAGGATCGCTTAAGCCCAGGGGTGTGAGGCTGCAGTGAGCTGTGATCATGTCAGTGCACTGCAGCCTGGATGACAGAGCAAGAACTTGTCTCAAAAAAAAAATTTTTTTTTTAATAAATATATTAGCCTGGGTGCAGTGGCTCACACATATAATTCCAGCACTTTGGGAGGCCAAGGCAGGTGGATCACCTGAGGCCAGGAGTTCAAGACCAGCCTGGCCAACATGGCAAAACCCTTTCTCTACTAAAAATACAAAAATTAGCCAGGTATGGTGGCACACGCCTGTATGTAACCCAGCTACCCAGGAGGCTGAGGCATAAGAATTGCTTGAACCCAGGAGGCAGTGGCTGCAGTGAGCTGAGATCACGCCATTGTACTCAGCCTAGGCAACAGAGCGAGACTCCATCTCAAAAAAAAGAAATGAAAATAATATAAAAGTACTGACAATTGGCCAGGCTAAGTGGCTCACACCTGTAATCGAAGCATATGGGAGGCCAAGGCAGGCAGATCATGAGGTCAAGAAATTGAGACCATCCTGGCCAACATGGTGAAACCCCGTCTCTACTAAAAACACAAAAATTAGGCAGGCATGGTGGTGCGTGCCTGTAGTCACAGCTACTCAAGAGGCTGAGGTGAAAGAATCGCTTGAACCCGGGAGGTGGAGGTTGCGGTGAGCTGAGATTGTGCCACTGCACTCTAGCCTGGCAGCAGAGTGAGATTCCGTCTCATTAAAAAAAAAAAAAATACAATCAGGAAGTGTTTCTTTCTGAAAGTGAATTTGCTTGCTTTCCCTCCTCATATAATGAAAACAATGTAACTCATTTCCTTTTGTAATCCACTCAGTGGCTATATGCAATTAAATCATCCCAAATTGCCAGTATCATGACCTTCTCTTTGCATTTAAGTAGACTTGTTCCATTTTTATCCCTGAATTTATTTTGAATTACATTTTTTATTCTTTTATGGTTAGTTGGGGTGTAAATTCTAAATAGGTAAGTTCTTAAGACTGTGTATTTGACATTGCATCAACCACCTTTGACATGTCCACAGTTGGGGCTGGATCGTGTTTTACCTACTGTGTATTACCGTATCCCAAATGTGATTCCCTTACCTATTACGGAAACATTCAGAACAACTTGATGACTATAAAACATGTAATTGTGATGTGAAATGTTAACTCCTGTTTTCACTTTTCTTCTTCTTGTCTTCCTCCCCATTTTCTTCTTCTTTTTTTTTGAGTCAAGGTCTCTCTCTTGCCCAGGCTGGAGTAGAGTAGTGCCTTCACAGCCACTGTAACTTCCACCTCCTGGACCCAAGCAATCCTCCCACCTCAGACTCCAAGACTCCCAAGTAGCTAGAACTACAGGCACACACCACTGCACCTGCCAGATTTTCTTTTTCAAGATGGAGTCTCATTCTGTCGCCAAGCTGGAACAGTGGTGCAATCTCGGCTCACTACTACCTCCACCTCCTGGGCTCAAGCAGTTCTTCTGCCTCAGCCTCCCAAGTAGCTGTGGTTACAGGCACCCACCACCACTCCCAGCTAATTTTTGTATTTTTAGCAGAGACGGGATCTCACCATGTTGTCCAGGCTGGTTTCAAACTCCTGACCTCAAGTGGTCCACCCACCTCGGTCTCCCAAAGTGCTGGGATTACAGGCAGGAGCCACCATGCCTGGCCTTAAATGTTTTATAGAGACAGGGTCTTGCCATGTTGGCCAGGCTGGTCAATAACTCCTGGCCTCATGTGATCCTCCTGCCTCAGCCTCCCAAAGTACTGGGATTATAGGTTTGAGCCACCCTACCTGACCTTCCTCCCCATTTTCTAAATAAATTCAGAGGGGTTTTTTTCTACCTCTATTTATTAATAAATCCTCTTTTTCTCCCTAGCTGCAGTGTGAAATGGCCACCAGTGGTGACAGACAAAGAGAATCAGAAGTTAATTCCAAAGAATTGAGAACAGCAAAAATGAAACCTGAACTACTGAGTGGACACATCCCCCCAGGTCACATTCCAAAACCTATTGTGATGCCCGATTATGTGGCGTAAGTATCAGTCTGACTTCTTTCTCACAGTAGAAGTTGAGGGGCCTCATTTGGGCCTTTCATTTTCCAGCTTGTCTCCATGTTTATACTCTGTGCTTAAAATCATGTATGCAAATAGTTGTTTGTTATCTGAAAGGTGACACATTGAATTGAAGATATAATATGATCAGTAAGGAATAAGCTAAGCTGATCTCCCATTCAGCTTCTTTTAGTGAAACAACTATAACTTTGGTTTACGTTTTTCCCCCAGAAAATACCCTGTGATTCAGACGGATGATGAGCGAGAACGCTATAAAGCTGTGTTCCAAGACCAGTTTTCAGAGTACAAAGAGCTGTCTGCAGAAGTTCAAGCTGTCCTGAGGAAGTTTGATGAGCTGGATGCAGTGATGAGCAGACTGCCACATCATTCAGAAAGCCGGCAGGTTAGTGTGTGCCACTGCCTAGGAGAACCACTGAAATCTAGAGGACGAATAAAATCTGGCTTTTTGTTTTTGTAAGACAGAGGCTCCTTCTGTTGCCAGGCTAGAGTGCAGTGGCACAATCTTGGCTCACTACAACCTCTACCTCCTGGGTTCAAGTGACTCTCCTGCCTCAGCCTCCTGAGTGACTGGGATTATAGGCATGTGCTACCATACCCAGCTAATTTTTTTGTATTTTTAGTGGAGACAGGGTTTCACCATGTTGGCCAGGCTTGTCTCAAACTCCTGGCCTCAAGTGAGCCACCCACCTTGGCCTCCCAAAGTGCTGAGATTACAAGCATGAGCCACTGCTTCTGGCATAAAATCTGGCTTTTAAAAAAAAGTATAACCATTTACATCTGCTTTCCATGTCTAGGAAAGTATTTCAGATCCTCAAGGTGCCTAGTTAAGATAACAGTTCAAATTGTGTAACTTAATATCTTTTGTTTTCGGTTATTAAACAGTATTTTTTCTTTTTTTCACTCTGTGCTTACTCATATTTTATATTCTTATTTAAGTAAAATATAAATTTGCCTAAGATGCATACTGAGTCAGTCAGGGTCCCAAAGGAGACAGGTGGCACATTCAAGCTAGGATAATTTACAAAGGTTTATTCACAAAGGGGAGGGTGGAGTGTAGGGAAGCCATCAGGGGCATTGCATTCCCCTGCTAAGCCAGAGCCCAGCAGTTAGCACCCCAGGCCCGAAGGCAGAGCGCCCAGTGAGTAAGAATAGAGAGCAGATATGGCCGGGCACAATGGCTCATACCTGTAATCCCAACACTTTGAGAGGCCAAGGTGGGCAGGTGGCTTGAGCCCAAGCATTCAAGACCAGCCTGGACAACATGGTAAAACCCCGTCTCTACAAAAAATATAAAAATTAGCCAGGCGTGGTGACATGCACCTATAGTCCCAGCTGCTCAGGAGGCTGAGGTGGGAGGATTGCCTGAGCCTAGGAGGTCAAGGCTGCAGTGAGCCATGATTGTGTCACTGTACTCCAGCCTGGGGGAGAGAGTAAGACCATGTCTCCAAAAAAATAAAAAAGAGCAGATATGAGATATGATGCTACAAACGTGAGCTACCGAGCACACACCAGACTGACAGCTATGATCATGACAAAGAGGAGCACTGGGAATAGAAATGGTTGTTATAGGGGACGTAAGCTTTTTTGTAGTGCTCTTTTTTCCCTCACATTTTTCACATGTTTATATCTCTGACATAGAGATTCCTTATAACCTGTGCCATTTTTTTAGTCAGATATACTCTTTTTTTTTTTTTTTTTGTTGAGACAGAGTCTTGCTCTGTCACCCAGGTTTGAGTGCAGTGATGCAATCTCCGCTCACTGCAGCATCCGCCTCCCAGGTTCAAGCAATCCTTCTGCCTCAGGGTCAGCCTCCCGAATAACTGGGACTATAGGCGCCTACCACCACGCCCAGCTAATTTTTGTATTTTTAGTAGAGATGGGGTTTTGCCATGTTGGCCAGGCTGTTCTTGAACACCTGACCTCAGGTGATCCACCCACCTCAGCCCCGCAAAGTGCTGGTATTATAGGCATGAACCACTGCATCTGGCCCAGATGTACTCTTTTTAGTTGAGATCTCGTTTACATATCATAAATCCACCCTTTTAAAGTGTACAAGTCAGTGAATGTTAGTATAGTTCCAAAGTTGTGCAATCAGCACACTCAAATCCCAGAAGAGTTTCATCACTCCAGCACTTTGGGAGGCCAAGGCAGGAGGATCACTTGAGACCAGCCAGGCCAATGCGATGAAGCACCATCTCTACTAAAAATACAAAAATTAGTTGGGCATGTTGGTGGGCTGAGTAATCTCAGCTACTTGGGAGGCTGAGGCAGAAGAATCGCTTGAACTCAGGAGGTGGACGTTGTAGTGAGCCAAGATTACGCCACTGCAGTCCAGCCTGGGCAACAGAGAGAGACCCTGCCTCAAAAAAAAAAAAAGAGAAAAGAAAAGAAAAAGAAACCCTATACCCATTAGCAGTTATTTCCCATTCCCAGATCTATCCAACCATTGACGACCACTAATCTCCTGTTTGTCTGAATAGATTTGCCTAGTTTGAACATGTCATATAAATCCTTTGTGTCTGGCTTCTTCATTTAGCCTAATGTTTTCAAGTTCATCTGTATTTTAGCATAAGTCAATACTTATTCCTTTTTGTGGTGGAATAATATTCTGCTATATGAATATACCACATTTTGTTTGTCCATTCATCAGGAGATAGACATTTTGGTCATTTCAGCTCATTAGCTAATATAAATAATGCCGCCATAAATATTTGTATAATCTGTCTTTTTAAAAGAGGCTACATTAATCTATTACTTGTATGATTAAATTTTTAAAACACAGCTTTTTAAAACTTAATGTCAGGCCTGGCACGGTGGTGGCTCACGCCTGTAATCCTAGCACTTTGGGAGGCCAAAGTGGGCGGATCATGAGGTCAGGAGATGGAGACCATCCTGGCTAACATGGTGAAACCCAGTCTCCACTAAAAATACAAAAATTTAGCTGGGCATGGTTGCACACGTCTGCATTGAGCTGAGATCCCGCTACTGTACTCCAGCCTGGCGACAGGTCGAGACTCCATCACACACACACACACACACACACACACACACACACACACACACACAAAACTAAATTCAAATTTATGTATGTGAACACACACACACACATATATGAATTTTTTACCCAAGAACCCATATTAATTGAGTGTCTTTGTTTCAACCACAGACTGTTAAATATACATTTAAATCAGTTATCATTATGAGTTAGCTGTATTGCAGTGACATTTTCCTAATCCTGGAGCAATGGAATGGTGTTGGCCAAGAGACGCCAGTACCAGGAAGCAAGAGAAATTCAGCAAATATTGAGGTTGAATGTCAGTACCATTTGGAAAATAAGCAAGGCCCACAGGTCTAAGAAGGGTGGCCTGGTTTAGAGGCTCTCAAAGGAGTGCAGGAAGGCATGAGGCCCCAGGAATCTGGATCAGCACAGGTTGGGAAGAGCAGGCTTGTTGCAGAAAATAATGCAGACAATCCTGACCTGTAATCTTTGAGCCAGCCCCCAGTGGTGTCTGGTTTGTATGCTTTGTATGAATGTACAAGGGCTGCAGCACGCGGTCTGCAGTTGGGAAATCAAGAGGGTCCTGATTATAGTACAGGCTGAGACTTAAGTCTTCCCATGATGTTTCCACACAGTATCAACAATAGTCATTACCTGTGATTTTTAACAAGACAGGGCTTGTAAGTAACCCAAATGGCAGGCCCATGGTTATTATTATCAGGGTATCCTCTAGTCCTTATCTAAAGTAGAAATATACATTGTATCACAAAAGTTAGCTTCTCCTTGGTCACAGGCTGAGCTTTGCCCCGGGCAAGAGTACACAGGCTCATTCATTTTCCCACCAGGTCCCCACGAAGCATGTGAGGCATTTCAAAGCCCATTGAGCCTGTTTGGAGGCACAGTTTCTCTCACAGACATGGTTGTGCACCCTTGAAAAATAGTCACGTGACTTTTCTGAGCCCATAAAATAGAAATATTTACTCCAAATAATCCCTCTGGTCCTCACCACTCCTTAAATTCGGTGACAGACTCTAGATAGATGTTACAGCTCATCTCTGCCTGCGTCTCCAGCACAGCAGTGCTAACCCCAGCAGCAAGTTTATTCCTTGTCCAGGACCTGTTATTACAGATTACAATTAAATCACCAGGTTTATCTTCACTGCTGGCAAGCATTCAAAACACAAATACTCATGATCTTAGTATGTAAAAGAGATTGAAGAATTAAAATAGATTGGGCAAAGGAGCTCATAGCTGTAATCCCCACACTTTGGAGGGGTCAAGGCAGAAAGGTTGCTTGAAGCCAGGAGTTCAAGATGAACTTGAACAACATAGCAAGACCATGTCTACACACAAAAAAATAATAAAAATTAGCAGCTGGGCACAGTGGCTCACGCCTGTAATCCCAGCACTTTGGGAGGCTGAGGCGGACAATTCATGAGTTCCAGAGTTTGAAACCAGCCCGGCTAACATGGTGAAACCCCATCTCTACTAAAAATACAAAAAGTTAGCTGGGCATGGCGGTGGGCACCTGTATTCCCAGCTGCTCGGGAGGCTGAGGCAGGAGAATCACTTGGACCCAGGAGGCAGAGGTTGCCGTCAGCCGAGGTTGCGCCACTGCACTCCAGCCCAGGGGACAGAGTGAGACTCCATCTCAAAAAATGAATAAATTAATTAATAAATAATAAATTAATTAATTAAAATTAAAATTAGCCAGGCCTAATGGTATACCACTATAATCTTAGCTACTTGGGAGGCTGAGACAGGAGGATTACTTGAGCCCAAGAAGTTGAGGTTACAGTGAGCTGTGATCACACCACTGCACTCTAGCTTGGACAACAAAGAAGACCCTGTCCTCCACCCAAAAAAAAAAAAGAAAATATACTGGGAAAAGGGTTTGGATCAGTGATGGAAAAGGTTCTCAGGGCAAGTTTTTATTTTTTTATTTTATTTTATTTATTTATTTTTCCTTTTCTTGTTTTTTGAGATGGAGTCTCGCTCTGTCTCCCAGGCTGGAGTGCAATGGCTTGGTATTGGCTCACTGCAACCTCCACCTCCCAGGTTCAAGCAATTCTCCTGTCTCAGCCTCCTGAGTAGCTAGGATTACAGGCGTGAGCCACCACTCCTGGCTAATTTTTGTGGTTTTAGTAGAGACAGGGTTTCACCCTGTCAGCCCAGCTAGTCTCAAACTTCTGACCTCAGGTGATCCACCCTCCTCGGCCTCCCAAAGTGCTGGGATTACAGGCATAGGGCAAGCTTTTAGAACTATAAATTACTGGCTGGGCATGGTGGCTCACACCTGTAATCCCAGTTTGGGAGGCCAAGGCGGGCGGATCACTTGATGCCAGGAGTTTGAGACCAGCCTGGCCAACATGGTGAAAACCCGTCTCTACTAAAAATACAAAAATTAGCTGGGCATGATGGTGCACACCTGTAGTTCCAGCTTCTTGGGAGACAGGCTCGGGAATAGCTTGAGCCAGGGAGGCAGAGGTTGCAGTGAGTTGAGATTGTGCCACTGCACTCCAGCCTGGGCAACAGAGCGAGACTGTCTCCAAAAAAAGAAAAACAACTCTCAAGTATTATATTTGTTTATTTTTTAGGTTTGCAGTGTCTGACAATCTCTATGCATAGGCTTGCATGGATGAATGAGGGTATAGCTGTAGTAATCTGTTCTCTTTGAATAGACTGTTCAACTCCTTAACAAAGTTCATATTTATTTTAAAACTTAGAATGAAATTACAAGGAACCTAATATTAGCTATTTTCAAAAGTTGCATACTTTCAAACTACTTAATCCCAACACCTAATAACTTGAAAAAGAACTTTCCAAAGGGATAAACTTTCCAAAGGGGATGAACATAATAATAGCAAATGTTGTGGTTATTATGTGGCAAGCGCTTTATAAGGATCATTTCAAATAAGTGAACCTTCTTACAACCCTTTGAGGTTATTATGGTTTTATTTCCATTTTATTAATAAGGAAACTGAGCCTGCCAGCTGTGTGGCCTTGGGCAAGAGGTGTATCCTCCCTAAAGGGCCTGGGGCACGGGTATGTTTGCATGTGGTCAGGGCCCTTTCTCTCTTATGCACTCCTGAGCCTAGCAGATAGTAAGCCCTGAAATATTTGCCTGTGAATTAAATTTTCATGTGTGAACATTTTCATCATTTTCTTGGGTAAAAATTGTGTTTTTTTTGTTCTAATTCTCAGTGTACTTTGAATAATTGTGATTTGAATAAACGTGTGATTTGAATAAATGGAAACTTAATTTAGGTATACAATATATTATTTTAAACTTAGGTATACAATATATTATTTTTAGGAACATGAGAGAATTTCAAGAATCCACGAAGAGTTTAAGAAAAAAAAGAATGTGAGTAAAACAGTTTTCTTCTTCAAACTATATTCTTATTGAGGTACATACATAATTGACAGACTCTAGATTCTGTTAGCTAACATTGTTCCTTTTTGTATTTCATGAGATGCTCCTTTTAAGGGAATGTGGCTGCTAGATGCCATTTCTTGTCATGTCTGTCCTGAATACATTTTGCTGTGGCCTGACTTAGGAACCTAGGGAAATGAGCATTGATCTGGAATTCTCTACCTCTTCCTTCCAAAAGATGAACTTTCTTTATACCTTTCCAAGTCTAACTTAATCTCAAAATCAGTAGAGGTGGCTGGACACTGGCTCACGCCTGTAATCCCAGCACTTTGGGTGGCCAAGGCGAGTGGAACACTTGAGCCCAGCAGGTTGAGACCAGCCTGGGCAACATGGCGAAACCCTGTCTCTACAAAAAAATAAATAAACATTAGCCATGTGGCACAAGCCTGTAGTCCCAGTTACTTGGGAGGCTGAAGTAGGAGGATCACTTGAGCCTGGGAGGCAGAGTGACTGCACTCTAGCCTGGGCAACAAAGTGAAACCCTGTCTCAAAAAAAAAAAAAAAAATTAGTAGAGGCCGGAGAGACCGTTTTGTTTTTTTTTTTTTTTTTGAGACGGAGTTTCACTCATGTTACCCAGGCTGGAGTGCAATGGCACGATCTCGGCTCACCGCAACCTCCACCTCCTGGGTTCGGGCAATTCTCCTGCCTCAGCCTCCTGAGTAGCTGGGATTACAGGCACGCGCCACCATGCCCAGCTAATTTTTTGTATTTTTAGTAGAGACGGGGTTTCACCATGTTGACCAGGATGGTCTCGATCACTTGACCTCGTGATCCACCCGCCTCGGCCTCCCAAAGTGCTGGGATTACAAGCGTGAGCCACCGCGCCCGGCCTGAGACCGTTTATTAATATTTTCTATACTTACTACTTTTTTTTTTTTAGATGAAGTCTCTCTCTGTCGCCCAGGCTGGAGTGCAATGGCATAATCCCAGCTCACTGCAACCTCCACCTCCCGGGTTCAAGCAATTCTTCTGCCTCAGCCACTCGAGTAGCTGGGACTCCAGGCACCTGCCATCACGCCCAGCTAATTTTTGTATTTTTAGTAGAGACGGGGTTTCACCGTATTGGCCAGCCTGGTCTAGAACTCCTGACCTTGTGATCTACCCACCCTGGCCCTCCCAAAGTGCTGGGATTATAGGCATGAGCCACCAAGCCTGGCCCCACTTTTTTTTTTTTTTTTTTAAGAGATGGGGTCTTGCTGTGTTGCCTAGGCTGGCCTTAAAACCCTGGGCTCAAGCAGTCTTCCCACTGCAGCCTCCTGAGTTGCTGGGACTACAGGCACATACCACTGTACCTGGCTTTATTTCCTTTTTTATGTACATCAGACATTAAAATGAAAGCTCTTTGTACTTCTGTTTGGTTTTGCTGTGAACCTAAAACTGCTCTAAAAAGAAATGTACATTTAAAACATCTGTAGAGAGCTTAACTATTAGTCTGAGCTCAGAATCTGCTGTAGAGAATATTGCTGTGTATGATCATTTCCTGGGTGACAATGTATGTTTCTGTGTTTTTCACTGAGAAGCCAGGAGCCAAAGTAATACTTATATTTCTTTTACAGGATCCTACATTTCTGGAAAAAAAAGAACGCTGTGATTACCTAAAGAATAAACTTTCTCACATAAAACAAAGAATTCAAGAATACGATAAAGTAATGAATTGGGATATACAAGGTTATTCTTAGCCCTTTTTTTTTTTTTTTTTTTTTTTTTTTGAGGCAGAGTCTCGTTTTGTCACCCAGGCTGGAGTGCAGTGGTGCAATCTCGGCTCACTGCAACCTCAGCCTCCGGGTTCAAGCGATTCTCCTGCCTTGGCCTCCTGAGTAGATGGGATTACAGGCACACAACACGGCACCCAGCTAATTTTTGTATTTTTAGTAGAGATGGAGTTTCACCATGTTGGTCAGGCTGGGAAACCACTTTTTTTTAAAAAAATAGCAAGTTTACTATTTATTTACTGCCTTTTAAATGCCAGCCTTTGTGGTAGAGAAGTAAGCAATTCCTGAATCAGCTTCCAGTTGGTTTAACCAGTATGCAACATTAAAGATTTTACTCCGACATTTTAAAACAAATTCAAATGTACTAAGGGCCTTTACTAAGAATGGAACAATTCCTGTGTTCAGCTGTGACCAATTTCATATTTGTCCATCTCATTTAAATGTGTCATCATTTTAGAGATCATATCCTGGCAGCATGATGGGCAAGTGGACTGCCAGTTCTGGTGCGACTTTCCTTTTTAACTCAGGCAGTTTCCTAGGATTTTTCTAGGACAAATTTCTCTTCCTATAGAAATTCCTCAGGGATTTCTAAAGGATTTTTCTAAGGGTAAATGGGTGATATTTTTCAAAGATTTCATTTATTCCCTTGAATAGTGTTTGAATCCCAGATCAACATTTTCAAACATTGTGATCTTGGGGAAATTGTTTAATCTCTCTGTGCCTGTTTCCTCTTCCATAGAATGGGGCCAATAATAGTCCCTTCCCCATAGAGTTGTTATGAGGATTAAAAGAATCACTAATATAGTAAGGACTATATTAGTGTTTGTGAAATCTACAGAAGTGTTTGTGAAATGAATAAATTATAAAGAATGAGTCTCGTGGCCGGGCGCGGTGGCTCAAGCCTGTAATCCCAGCACTTTGGGAGGCTGAGGCAGGTGGATCACGAGGTCAAGAGATCGAGACCATCCTGGTCAACATGGTGAAACCCCATCTCTACTAAAAATACAAAAAATTAGCTGGGCATGGTGGTGCGTGCCTGTAATCCCAGCTACTCAGGAGGCTGAGGCAGGAGAATTGCCTGAACCCAGGAGGCGGAGGTTGCAGTGAGCCGAGATCGCGCCATTGCACTCTAGCCTGGGTAACATGAGTGAAACTCCGTCTCAAAAAAATAAAAATAAAAATAAAAATAAAAGAATGAGTCTCAAGAAGAGGTCCTTAATGAGTAAGCCCAACCTACTTAACCAAAGGCCCAAGTGTCTGGTGCCTTTCTTTTTTGCAGTGTTAACTCGTGGCCTTAGCCTGATGCTTCCCTGTGGCTCTGTGGCCCCCTGGGGTTCCACGTGGCCTTCCTGTCTTTCATCAGTGTGACTGTACATCTCTCCATCTCCCTGTAGTCCAGCCTGCCCTGGACTCATTGAATTGTATGAATGGTATTGCCTTTCTCTTCCCTTTGGGCATCCACACTACAGTCTCACATGATATGATGTAGCATTTCCTTGAAACCTCCCTTTGAATTTTTGGGAGGCTTCATCTTTTTTTTTTTTGAGATGGAGTTTCACTCTTGTTGCCCAGGCTGGAGTGCAATGGTGTAATCTCAGCTCACTGCAACCTCTGCCTCCCGGGTTCAAGCAGCTCTCCTGCCTCCTGAGTAGCTGGGATTACAGGTGCCCGCCACCACACCCAGCTAATTTTTCATATTTTTAGTAGAGACAGGGTTTCGCCATGTTGGCCAGGCTGGTCTCAAACTCCTGACCTCAAGTGATCTACCTGCCTCGGCCTCCCAAAGTGCTGGGATTCAGGCGTGAGCCACTGCGCCTGGCAGGGATGCTTCATCTTTCTAAGCATTATCCTGGCTTTGGAATTTATTCATGAGAAATGTTTTATTTTTGTTAGTATGAACAATAAACTGCCTTTAAAACATTTTTTTAAAAAACAAAATCATTCTTCTTGGATTTTATTCAGCAGCATCTAGTATGTAGATAAATTCCCAGGTGTAGCGTTTCAGCTTCTGCCTAATGTAGCTGCCTTTCAAACGATTAACGTTCAAAAAGTTTTCTAAAGTGATGAAACCAAAGAAAAGCATGTGGAAAAGCAGAAGCTTAGGAAGTTATGGCCACTGAATGCACTTGCTAGTTTTTGTCAGTGAAATCTTTATGCATTCATTGTTCATATTTTAATTCCATGGCTTCCCAGACTGTGCATCAGGCTGGGCTGTGTCTGAAGGGGTGACACCTAGGGAAGCGTGAGACCCTTCATGGGAACCCCCCAAATGGAAAAACTTCACTTTCTCTTTTATGTATTGATCCCTGTGTTAACATTTTACTTAAGAAGAGCAACAGTGAGGCCAGGCGCGGTGACTCATGCCTGTAATCCCAGCATTTTGGGAGGCCAAGGTGAGCGGGTCACAAGGTCAAGAGATCAAGACCATCCTGGCCAACGTGGTGAAACCCTGTCTCTACTAAAAATACAAAAAATTAGCTGGGCGTGGTGGCACGCTCCTGTAGTTCCAGCTACTCAGGAGGCTGAGGCAGGAAAATCGCTTTAATCCGGGAGGTGGAAGTTGCAGTGAGTCGAGATTGCACTGCTGCACTCCAGCCTGGCGAAAGAGCGAGACTCTGTCTCAAAAAAAAAAAAAAAAAAAAAAAAAAGAGCACCAGTGCTTTAAAAAAAAAAAAGAAGTAAAATACTACCATTTTGATAGACTATAAAGAGTTAGATTCCTGTTGAAGTATTAAGGAAGTTGAACATTGTGAAACTTGTAAAATAAAGTTTATAACTGTAAATGTTAATCTTTGAAAATCCAATGCTGTAACACTGATTTGTAAATGTTGTGGTCAATCCCTAGGTGTATTAAAGTTTCAGCCAGCTGTCGTGTGTGTGCCCTTTATGTTTGCCTTCCTAGCATTCCTGTGTTCACTGTGCATGTTCTTGAAAATATTTTCACTTATCAGAAAATAAACTGGAAAGTCATTGAAAACCTGTAGGTCACGATGCTCAGGTGACTCACCGTTTCCCCTTCCCCCATTATTTGCAAGAATTCAAAGTCAAGGCCACCGTGTACAACAAACTGAGTGGCTCAAAACAATCAAAATGTATTGTCTCACAGACCTGCAGCCGAGAAGGCTGGAAGCAAGGCGTCGGCAGGACGTGCTCCCTTGAAAGCCTGTAGGGGAGTCCTCTTCCAGCTTCTGATGGTTTGCTGGCAATCTTGAGCATTCGTTGGCTTGTAGATGCACCTTTCCAGTCCTCCATTCTCACACGGCCTTCTCCCTGTCTTTTTGGCCATACCAGTCATAGGAATGAGAGGCCCACCTTCTCCAGCACGACCTCCTGTCAACTAATTACATTTGCTAGGATGCTATTTCTAGATAAGGTCACATTCTGAGGTACTGGAGGTTAGGAACTTCAGCGTTACCTTTTGAGAGGCCACCGTTTAGCCTGTAATAGCTACCTTTGGCAACTTACAAGATTCAGAAGGAAAAATACTTTCCTGTACATTTCCTTTCTTCCATATGATTTTTTCTTTTATTATTTAAGATGGAGTCTCGGCCGGGCACGGTGGCTCAAGCCTGTAATCCCAGCACTTTGGGAGGCCGAGGCGGGTGGATCACGAGGTCAAGAGATCGAGACCATCCTGGTCAACATGGTGAAACCCCGTCTCTACCAAAAATACAAAAAATTAGCTGGGCATGGTGGCGCATGCCTGTAATCCCAGCTACTCAGGAGGCTG